CCTCCCATGGGGCCAGCCACCAACCTGCTCCTCTAGGCAGTGGGACACAGGAACAAGGGTGGCATGCCACCAGGAAGCCCTGCATCCATGTCTCAGACACGTGGCCATGTGGGCTTTGGCTTCTCATGCACACAACAGCCCCCCCTTCCTCACAGGGCTGCCTCAAGGCAGTGGTGGTGGTGCCCGGGGCCTTCTCCCTTCCTGGGGCATCCCGGTGGTCACCACAGTATTGCAGTGCACAGAGTCAGCCATGGTATCAAGGCAGAGGCCATGAGCTGGGCAGCAGAGGCCTCAGAGAGGAGCCCACTTCACCCATGGCACAGGAGTCTCACCTGCAACCCCACCATTGCTGTACACTTCCCAAGAACATAAAGAAAGGGAATTTCCAGGGCTGCTGAGGCCCTGGGGGTTCCCACCCCATTTTTAGCCAGGGCACTGAGGCAGAGCTCCCCTCCCCCCAGGCCCTATTATCTGGACACAAAAATAACAGCCATTGTACTAATGATTCACCTCATCTGTCCAGGAGCCTATCCAGGGAGCTGCAGACAGCCAGGCCAGGCCCCCTCTTGGAGCACCAGGCACCTCAGGTATCCCAGCCACTCAAGCTGGCCCAAGCTGCAGTCCACTACGCAGCCAGGAGGAACAGAGCTTCCTGGTCACTGCTCATCTCCCAGATGTCTCTTCCCTGCACATGGACACACGGGAGCAAGACTCTGCCCAAAGCTGATCTGGAGAAGACTAGGGGCCAAGAATCAAAGACACGACAGGACTAGGGCAGAGCCCAAGGCTGAGAAGGTCCAGGACCATGCAGAGGGCATGGAGAGAGGGCCTGAGCATGGAGCTGCCTGCAACCAGCAGGGCAATGACCACCAGCCCAAGGTCGGGGGGAAGCACCAGGGAGCTGTCCCTATGGTGGACTAGGCGGCAGGCTGGACTGGCCCACATCCTCAGGTGTGTGAGCTGGGTTGCCTGAGCCAGCCTGAATAAGGTGGGCCAGGTTGCCTGGGTCTGCCCTATACAGCTTGAGGGGAAGGAGTTAAGTGAAAGAGGTCAAACTACTCCAGGCTCAGCTGGACCAGGCTGGTCTCTCTGGGCTCCACTGTGTGAGTGGACTGAGATGGGCCAGGCTGGGCTGACTTTACAGAACCAGGGTGGATGGGGAAAGCTGGGGTGAGCTAAGCTGGGGTGAGCTTGGTGGACAGAGCACAGGACAGGCTTGACCAGTCTGGGTACTTGTGGCGGTGCTGGGCTATCCTGAGCCAAGATGATCTGAACCAAGCTGAGCGGCTCAGGGAGTCGGGGAGACTTGGGTCAGGTGAAACGCTCTCTTCAGTGAGGACTGTCCTGGGCTGGGCTGATGTGGATGGAAAGGGCTTGGGCAAGCAGGTCCAACTGAGCAGATCTGAGGCAGCCTGGCAGGACTGTCCTGGGTTGACTCACCTTGGCTCAAATAGCTGAACTAGGCTAACCTGAGCTGCACTGCACGCAGCATTGTTGAGCTGAGTCAGGAAAACCTGGGCAACCTGACCAGACCAGCAAGATTTAGGCTGGCAAACAGATGGGCTACCTGTGCCTAAATGAGCTAAGTCTGTCTGACCTGGACAGGGCTCGGCTCCGCTGGGCTGCACTGACCAGGGCTGGGCTTGCCTGGGCTGAGCTGGACTGAGCAGGGCTGAGCTGAGCTGAACTGGGCTGGGCTGGGCTGATCTGGGCTGAACTGGGATGAGCTGAGCTGGGCTGAGCAGGGCTGAACTGAGCTGAACTGGGCTGAGCTGGGCTAGGCTGTACTGAGATAAACTGGCTGAACTGGGCTAAGCTGAACTGGGCTGAACTGAGCTGAACTGGGCTGAGCTGGGCTGAAGTGGACTGATCTGGGCTCAGCTAGAAGGAACTAGGCTGAGCTGGGCTGAGTTGAGCTGAACTGGACTGGACTGGGCTGGGCTGGCTTGGGCTGAGCTGCCCTGAACTGGGCTGAGCTGAGCTGAGCTGAGCTGCACTTGGCTAAATGGGCTAGGCTGACCTGAGCTGGGCTGGGCTGCGCTGGGCTGCGCTGAAATGGGCTGAGCTGGGCTGAGCTGAGCTGAGCTGAGCTGGGCTGAACCAGGCTGAGCTGAGCTGGGCTGAACTGAGTTGAGCTGAGCTAAGCTGGGATGAACTGGCCTAAGCTGGGCTGCACTGAACTCTACTGAACTGCACTGAGCTGGACTGAACTGGGCTGAGCTGAGCTGGGCTGAACTGGACTGGACTGGGCTGAAATGGCCAGAACGGGGCTGAGCTGGGCTGAAATTGGCTGAACTGGGATGAGCCTAAGTAGGCTGAGCTGGACTGAACTGAGCTGAGCAGTGATGAACTGGGCTGGGCTCAGCTGAACTGGACTGAGTTGAGCTGGGCTGAGCTGATCTGAACCAGCCTGAGCTAAGCTGGATGGAACTGGGCTGTGCTGGGCTGAGCTGGGCTGAATTGCACTGAGCTGGGCTGAAATGAACTGGGCTGAGCTGGGCTAAGCTGAGCTGAATGGGGCTGAACTGGGCTGAGCTGGGCTAAACTGGGCTGAACTGAGTTGAACTGGCCTGAGCTCTCCTGAGCTGGGCTGAGCTGGGCTGGGCTGGGCTGAATCAGGCTGAACCAGGCTGAACTGGGCTGAAATTGGCTGAGCTGGGATGAGCCTAACTAGGCTGAGCTGGACTGAACTGAGCTGAGCAGTGCTGAGCTGGGCTGGGCTAAGCTAAACTGGGCTGAGTTGAGCTGGGCAGAGCTGATCTGAACCAGCCTGAGCTCAGCTGGACTGAACTGGGCTGAGCTGGGCTGGACTGGGCTGAACTAGGCTGAGCTGAGTTGAACTGAAGTGGGCTGGACTGAGTTAGGCTGACCTGGGCTGGGCTGAGCTGGCCTGAGCTGGGCTGAGCTGAGCTGTGGTGAACTGGGCTGAACTTGGCTGATCTGAGCTGGGGCGAACTGGGCTGAGCTGGGCTGAGCTGGGCTGAACTGGCCTGAGCTCTCCTGAGCTGGACTGAGCTGAGCTGGGCTGAACTGGGTTGAACTGGCCTGAGCTCTCCTGAGCTGGGTTGAGCTGAGCAGGGCTAGGCTGAACCAAGCTGAGCTGGGCTGAAATTGGCTGAGCTGGGATGAGCCTAACTAGGCTGAGCTGGACTGAACTGAGCTGAGAAGTGAACTGGGCTGGGCTGAGCTGAACTGGGCTGAGTTGAGCTGGGCTGAGCTGACCTGAACCAGCCTGAGCTCAGCTGGGCTGAACTGGGCTGAACTGATCTGAACTGGGTTGAACTGGCCTGAGCTCTCCTGAGCTGGGCTGAGCTGGGCTGAGCTGAGCTGGGCTGGGCTGAACCAGGCTGAACCAGGCTGAACCAGGCTGAACTGGGCTGAAATTGGCTGAGCTGGGATGAGCCTAATTAGGCTGAGCTGGGCTGAACTGAGCTGAGCAGTGCTGAACTGGGCTGGGCTGAGCTGAACTGGGCTGAGTTGAGCCGGGCTGAGCTAAGCTGGGTGAACTGGGCTGAGCTGGGCTGGACTGGGCTGAGCTGAGTTGAATTGAACTGGGCTGGACTGAGGCTGAGCTGAACGGGGCTGAACGGGGCTGAGCTGGGCTGAACTGGGTTGAACTGGCCTGAGCTCTCCTGAGCTGGGCTGAGCTGGGCTGGGCTGAACCAGGCTGAACTGGGCTGAAATTGGCTGAGCTGGGATGAGCCTAACTAGGCTGAGTTGGACTGAACTGAGCTGAGAGCAGTGTTGAACTGAGCTGGGATGAGCTGAACTGGGCTGAGTTGAGCTGGGCTGAGCTGACCTGAACCGACCTGAACTAAGCTGGGATGATCTGTGCTGGGCAGAACTGGGCTGAGCTGGGCTGAACTAAGCTGAGCGGGGCTGAAATTGGCTGAGCTGGGACAAGCTTAACTAGGCTGAGCTGGACTGGACTAGGCTGAGCTGGGTTGGACTGAACTGGGTTGAAATGGGCTGATCTGGGATGAGCTTAACTAGGCTGAGCTGGACAGGGCTGAGCTGAGCTGCACTTGGCTTAACTAGGTTGAACTGGGCTGAGCTGGGCTGAACCGGGCTGAGCTGAGTAAGACTAAATTTATTTCGCTAGTTGGTTTGGCCTGGCCCTGAGTCATGTAGGGTGTTCCTAGGCCCAGTGGCAGGGGTCCATGGGAATAATGTGAGTGGAACTGACCTAGTGGAACAAGCCTGGCTGGCTCGCTAAGTTAAGCTGAGCTGGATGAACTTGGTTGAACTTGCAGACTGATCAGATGAGTCGGCTTGCTTGAAATGGGTTATCCTAGGCTGACCTGGGCCAGGCTAGGCCAAGGTGGCCCCCTTGAACTTAGGTAATCTGACTAGGCAGAGCTGGTGAGGCTGTGTGTGGAGCTGGTTTGTGTCCCTGGCGCCCTCTCTCCTGACACAAGGCCATGGGACTGGTCTCACTGGACTGGCTGGGCAGAGTGGAGCTGAGAGGCAGGACCAACATGACCTGGGGTCTGGGCTCCTAGGCCAAGGGAGCACAGGCAGGTGTGCAAACCCAAGTCATCAACTGGGGAAGATTGACCTGGGCTCTGACGGGGTCTCCTCTTCTATGAATGGGGCCCATTGTCAGGCCTCCTGGAAGCTCTGCAGGGACAGTAGAGAACCAGAGAGGGCTGTCTGGTCAGGAGAGGAGGAGTCCCCAAGAACCCCACGTTCCTGCCTCTCAGGGCTGAGGGCAGGGAGTCCTGGCCAAAGGTAAGGGCAGCAACTACTTCCGACAAGTGGTTCATCAGAAAGTGTTCCAAGCAGAAGCAGGGAATAAGGAAAGAGTCCAAAACGAGCATCTATCCCCCAAGGCTGGAGAAGGGGTCCCAGTGACCCTCCATCTCTGCCCCCACGCTTTTCCTTCTCAGACGCCCCCCGCCAGGCGGCCAGGAGCGGGATACCCCAGGTCAACAGCGGGCCTGGCATATGATGGGGTGACAGTCCCAAGGCAGGCACTGACACTGGCCCCGTCCCCACAGCCTCCAGCCAGGGCCTGTCTGTGTTCCCCTTGGCCTCCTGCTGTAAAGACAACATCGCCAGTACCTCTGTGACACTGGGCTGCCTGGTCACCGGCTATCTCCCCATGTCGACAACTGTGACCTGGGACGCGGGGTCTCTAAGTAAGAATGTCACAACCTTCCCCACCACCTTCCACGAGACCTCCGGCCTCCACAGCACCGTCAGCCAGGTGACCGCCTCGGGCGAGTGGGCCAAACAGAGGTTCACCTGCAGCGTGGCTCACGCTGAGTCCACCGCCATCAACAAGACCTTCAGTGGTGAGCCAGGGTTGGGCTGGCCCACATGACACCGGAGGGAGGAGGGACAGGCTGGGCGGGAGCGGTAGGAGAGGGGTGGTGGCGGGCCCGAATGCCGCCATGGCTGGTAACATGGTAACTTGGCTGACACATGAGTCCCGTGGGCTCAGAGACGCCACTCCACATGGCTGCCTCTACTCCTAGCATGTGCCTTAAACTTCATTCCGCCTACCGTGAAGCTCTTCCACTCCTCCTGCAACCCCGTCGGTGACACCCACACCACCATCCAGCTCCTGTGCCTCATCTCTGGCTACGTCCCAGGTGACATGGAGGTCATCTGGCTGGTGGATGGGCAAAAGGCTACAAACATATTCCCATACACTGCGCCTGGCACAAAGGAGGGCAACGTGACCTCTACCCACAGCGAGCTCAACATCACCCAGGGCGAGTGGGTATCCCAAAAAACCTACACCTGCCAGGTCACCTATCAAGGCTTTACCTTTAAAGATGAGGCTCGCAAGTGCACAGGTATGACCCCCCTGTCCCCCCGACACCCAGATGCGCAGGGCTCAGAGATGAGGGCCAAGGCACGCCCTCATGCAGCCTCTCACACACTGCAGAGTCCGACCCCCGAGGCGTGAGCAGCTACCTGAGCCCGCCCAGCCCCCTTGACCTGTATGTCCACAAGGCGCCCAAGATCACCTGCCTGGTAGTGGACCTGGCCAGGATAGAAGGCATGAGCCTGACCTGGTCCCGGGAGAGCAATGAACCCGTGAACCCGGGCCCTTTGAACAAGAAGAATCACTTCAATGGGACGATCACAGTCACGTCCACCCTGCCAGTGAACACCAATGACTGGATCGAGGGCGAGACCTACTATTGCAGGGTGACCCACCCGGACCTGCCCAAGGACATCGTGCGCTCCATTGCCAAGGCCCCCGGTGAGCCACGGGCCCAGGGGAGGTGGGCGGGCCTCCTGAGCCGGAGCCTGGGCTGACCCCACACCTGTCCACAGGCAAGCGTGCCCCCCCGGATGTGTACTTGTTCCTGCCACCGGAGGAGGAGCAGGGGACCAAGGACAGAGTCACCCTCACGTGCCTGATCCAGAACTTCTTCCCCGCTGACATTTCGGTGCAATGGCTGCGAAACGACAGCCCCATCCAGACAGACCAGTACACCACCACGGGGCCCCACAAGGTCTCGGGCTCCAGGCCTGCCTTCTTCATCTTCAGCCGCCTGGAGGTTAGCCGGGCGGACTGGGAGCAGAAGAACAAATTCACGTGCCAAGTGGTGCATGAGGCGCTGTCCGGCTCTAGGATCCTCCAGAAATGGGTGTCCAAAAGCCCCGGTAAATGATGCCCACCCTCCTCCCGCCGCCACCCCCCAGGGCTCCACCCTGCTGGGGCAGGGGAGGGGGGCTGGCAAGACCCTCCATCTGTCCTTGTCAATAAACACTCCAGTGTCTGCTCAGAGCCCTGGGCACACCCATTCTTGGGGGTGGGCAGGGTTGCAGAGCAGGGATGTCTTGGCACAGAAGGGACCCCCAGGAGAGGGGACAGGAGGGGACGAGGCAGGGCGGAGGTGTGGCTATGGCTCTGTCCACCATAGCCATCCATGTGGGGGGCCCTCCCTGCCACCCCTCTATGGAGTATGCCCGCTCAGAGGGGTCCCAGGGGAGGGACCACAGACACCCCAGCCAGCCCGGGGCCCCTCCCTCTCCTGAAGGCCCCCGAGGTCTCAGCCTCCACCCTCACCAAGTCTCCTGTCAGCCGCTCCAGACACGGACCTATCACCAGGTCCAGCTGCACACACGCACGCAGGCCCTCTGAGAGGGGAAATCAGCCAAGCCAGACCCCCACACGGGTGCCTGCACACAGAAACCCAGACAGCCCCACCCCGGCAGGCCCTCAGCGTCACCTCCCTCGTACACACGGGCCAGACAGGCCCCCGACCCCACACTGGGGCCACTGCACACCTACTCCCACACGGCCCCTCTAATCGCCCCCCTGCCTACACGGCCACGCCAGGCGGGGTCAGCACCCAGTGCCCTGTCTTGCTGTTCAGCCTCACTCCGCCCTGAACTGATGCCAGGGAAGCCCCCAGCCCTTGCACAAAAGTTCCCATGAGCCTCACACGGGGTCACACACACCTCAGCCGTCCTTCAAGGCACACCAAGTAGCAAAGTGGCTCCAACAATCACCCACCACCACCAAGCACCATAGGGCAGACGCACCCTACAGGGACACACGTGGCTCCTACCTCCCTGTCCCATCTGGACCGCTGCATCCAGGATGGACATGGAGAGGCCTCCCGCCCCCCACCCGGGAGCCTCCTCTGTGTCCCTGGCCTCCCTAGTCCAGACACCCCCTGTAGGCTGCACCCCAAGGATGAAAGAACGCACACACCGACACTCCAGGACACACACACACACACACACGCATGCACACGCCTAGAGCGTGGGCTCTGTCCTCTTCTCCCACTGGACCCAGAACAGGCGCTGGCCCCATCCCAGGGCCTGAGCCCCCCCCCCCCACCCAAGCGCCAAGCCTGCGTACAGGTCTCTGCTAGCCCTAGACCCCCAGCCCAGGCATGCCCCTCCCCCCCCACACACGGCCCACCTTCTGAAGACAAGCCTGGAAACAGCAGCTCCTGCATTCCCCGCGGGAGCCCTTGGGCAATGCACGTGGCCCACTGTCACCCTGCAGAGTGGATGCCCACCTGTGCAAGGCCGGGAGGGCCAGGAGGCTGGGGACGGCCATGGGCCCGGTGTGCGGCCAGGTGGCAGCTCTGGGCACTGTCAGGCCTCAGCAGGTCCACATGGCCCACCTGGCACCTCAGAGCACCCAGTCCACTGCTTCCTGGGGTTATTCCAGGTCCTCTGAGATGGGCTCCCGAGCTCAGGCTCCTCAGGGCTCCTGGCAGGGCGGCAATCCCAGGACAGTTCACACACATCCTCAGGCTGGCAGGAGTATAAAGGAAGTGGGCACAGGGCTGGGGTGGCCAGGCCGGTGGCCCCAGGCCATGCAGCAGAAAGCAGAGCCGTCCCAGAGGGCGGGGGGTGGGTGAGAGAGGGCAGGGCACTCCCACGGCCACCGGCCACCACGCAGGGCCTCGGACCCCAACCCTCTGGGGGCAGCTGCACCTGCAGAACGGGCTGGACCAGGCGGCCTGCCACTCCAGCCGCTGGCAGGGCTGCCGAGGCCAGGGCATCATTCTCTTGTCCCCTGGGGGGGGGTGGGCCTGCCTTCCCCCCACCAGCGCATGAAGCGGCTGGACCGGGGAGGGCTGACTGGCCGGTGCCCGCAGAGCTAGAGCTCCAGGAGCTGTGCGCGGACGCCACTGAGAGCGAGGAGCTGGACGAGCTGTGGGCCAGCCTGCTCGTCTTCATCACCCTCTTCCTGCTCAGCGTGAGCTACGGCGCCACCAGCACCCTCTTCAAGGTGGGCATGCGGAGCCCCTGTGCCGGGGGCGGGGGCAGCCCGGAGGGAGGGAGAGCTCCCGGCAGAGCTGTCCTCACACGTGCCCTCCCCCCAGGTGAAGTGGGTACTCGCCACCGTCCTGCAGGAGAAGCCACAGGCCGCCCGAGACTACGCCAACATCGTGCGACCGGCACAGTAGGCCCAGAGACACGGCGATGAGGCCTTGCTTTCTCCCTCCCCCTGGCTGAGGGCAATCTGCTGGCCCTGAGCGGGAGGAGGAAAGCAGACAAAGCCCCGGAGGGGCCAGAGCCAGACGCCCAGCACACAGGCATCCAGAAGCTTCCAGCTCAGCTCCAAGGCACCGATGGGACCTGCCAGTCACAGCCCCTACCCCCCCCCCCACACTTGGCAACAAGCCTCAGAAGAGCATCTGTCCCTGCCACCGTGACCTGAGCTGGGCCTGGGCGCTGACCCCCGGGCTCCTCCCTGTCCTAGGGTCAGGACCACTCCTCATCTCCCTGAGCAACTCCCCCCAAAGCACAGGGAGGGGGATGCCCATGGCCTGGCCCAGAGCCAACCCCGCGACTCAGAGTCCAAGTCCAGGGCAAGACCTCGGCGCCCAGACTCAGTCCACCTCCCTGGCACCAGCTCAAGTCCCCCCGGCCCTGTGCCCAGCCCCGGGCCCCCTGCCCCGCCTTCCTGCCATCCACTGGCAGCTCCGTCCCTGCAGAAGGCCAGGACAGAGAAGCATGGCTGGGCAGAGGCCGCAGGACTGCTCGGGGCTGGGGGACGAGGGAGCGCCCAGCAGAAGGAGCTTCCCACGGGTCCCGCCTCAGCCCGCAGCTGCCCACCCCGCCCTGGCCTCACCTGAACCCTCGCTCCCCGCCTGGCGGCCCTGTTGCCTTCCTTCTGAGTTTCTTAGTAAAGTTCGTTTTTACAAATCCCGTGCCACCTGAGCAAGCGCTGGAAGGGGTCCTGATGGTCCTGCGAGGCGCCACGAGGCAGAGTCTCCCACAGGATGTGGACAAGGGGCCGAGGAAGGGAGCAGGGGTCAGGTCTGACCCTGACAGCCCAGGGGGCCGGCCAGCTGCTCCCTGCTGCCTTGGACACCCCCAGAGACACCACAGCTCAGTCCCTCACACCTCTGCTGGCCTCCAGCAGGGCTCACTGCCCCTTCCACGCTAACACAAAAGCAACATCTCCCCGGGCAAACCCAAAGTAGCTACTTCCATGGTCAGTGCAGGAGGCCATAGGAATACAGCTGCACAATCACCAAGCACAGGGCCTCCATCAGCCTCCGGGGACACCGGGCACCCACCCCAGACTGTCCACCCCCTGAGCACACACACAGGCCATCCTGGGCCCCACCCCACCAGCCAGCCTGGGATGCCCAGCGAGCTGAGCAAGTCAGACGTGCAAGCAAGAGCTGCTGGGGGCCAGCCAGCGCCGTCCTCAACAAGAAACCCAACGAGCCTGGAAGGCAGGAGCCCAGGGGCTGGAGAGACGGCCAGCTGGCCAAGCACAGTGCTGGGTGTGAGGCTGTGCCCCTCCTCAGAATAAAGAGGTGGTTCCCTGGCTGGATACACCTTCCCTCTAGGGTCTGCCTGAAGTGCCCTGGAAAAGGGGGGACAACATGTGCACACACGTGATGAAAGGATTAATCCCTCATATACAAAGAGTGCTCAGGAACCAATACAAGGAAAGAAAGTGAGCCGTGGGTCCTTTGCAGAAAGGGAAAACCAAGTGGCCAACTATGGGAAGAAAACATTAAAATAGCTACGAAAGCTACACTAAGAGGGACGCCAGGGAGAGGCAGCCCTCTCAGCCCCGTCTGAGGCCATGTGAACTCTTAGCACCATCGCTCAGGCCCTGGCCGCACGCCCAGCGTACAAATGCCCAGGATGCTGTGCACGGGAGGCGACACGTGTGCCAGTGGCCCTCCGAGACAAGCCCCATCCCTGGCTCATGTCACACAGATCTGAATCGAAGTGAGTGACAGCTTGCCTGCAGCCTGTGGGGGTCACACCTGGGCTACTGGCCTCCCACGGGGGGCGGGGAGAACACCCAGGATCGGGCGGCTCGGGGGCTCCTTCCAGCCTCGGAGGATTTGGCCTAAAAAGAAGGAAGCCGGGGCGGGGTCTAAGAACTGGAGGAGGCCACGCTGCAGCCCCACACGGCGCTCACACACAGGCACACACGCTCTCAGGAACCCGGGCCCCACGCTGGTAAAGTAAAGGATATTTTCAGCTTTAAGACTATTTCTGAGCTCCCAGGAAGGCTCTACTTCGATTGTGACCAAGGTCACAGGGACGCAACCAGACCTCAGAGCAGGGGCTCTATCGCCGCCCCCAGCACATGCTGTCCATCTGCTTCAGCTGTGGGTGACCTGCGGGAAACAGGGCAGACGCCAAGATAAGAGGAAGGCCGCCCCAAGTCCCCGCTGGGTTGCATCACGCAGCCTTGCATGTACCAAAACCAGGAGGTGATCTGTCGCTTTCTGAAATGACCTTGGTCGCGATGATCTGTAACTCCTGATGGGAGACAGACCCTGTAGGAAATACCGCTCCCGGGGCAGGCAGGGTCCCGGCCACCGTCCTCACTGCCTTCTCCTTTTTTGTTACAATTTTCACAAAGGGTGCAGGCTTCTTGTGATGAGCACCGAGAGTCACATGTACGTGATGATTCACTGAATTCTACTCCAGAAAACAATATTGCACTGCATGTGAACTGAGTAAACTTTAAATAAATAAAAAAATTTTGCAGAGGGTGCAGGGTGGAACTGTATTCTCCCTACATGGGCCTAGGCCCTGTAGAGGCATAGCTAGGAGGCGGAGTATATGGCAGCCCTGGGACCTGAGTATCATCCAAAATGATAGATAGATAGATAGATAGATAGATAGATAGATAGATAGATGATAGATGATAGATAGAAGGATGGGATGAATGGAAGGATAGAAAGAAAGAAAGGGATGGAAGGATGGTTGGGTGGGTGGATGGATGCATGGATGGATGGACAGATGGATAGATGATAGATAGATGAAGGATAGACCAATAGATGATACATGGACAGATCAATGGATGGATGGTGGAGAGATAGATAATAGAAGGATGAGTGATACATGATAGAGAGTTTTATGAATGGATGAACAATACATAAGTGGATGGGTAACTAGATGACTAGATAGATGAATCGAAGATAAACAGATGACGACGATGCTTGGGTAGGTAGGTAGATATGAGATGGAGAGATATATGAATAGATGATAGAGAGATGATAGATAATGTTACAAGAGACATGACTCATTTCCTGCCACAAGACCCACCCCCACCTGGCAGGTTCTCAGAGGCCCAGGCCTGGGGGCCTTCCTCCCATCCCCTGGACTGGGGGTCCCTCAGGGCAGCGCTGAGCGTCTCCCTTGTCTGACTGGTGCCCCAGTTCAGGAGACCTGCCTTGTGGCCCCCAGCTCGAGGACAACCAGGGCTCGGCTCACACAGGACCCGAGCACCAGAGACCCCTGCACAGGGGAAGAAGGCATCTGCCCGAGCCTGGGAGGAGGTGTGCCGGTCACCGGTCAGGCGGGGCCAGCAGCGGCCTGTCACGCGGGGAGCACAGCCTGGGAGCAGGGCGTGGGGGACAGTACCAGGGATGCTACCTTCACATGCCCTCGGGCACCAAGAGGCCACCACGTCAGGTCCCTCTGTCCCTCTCTCTCTCCTTCTCTTATGGACCCAGCACAGTGGGCTGAACGCTGGCGCCCAGAGGCTATGTCCACCCCCAATGCCGTGGCACCTGTGGATGTGACCTTGTTTGGAAAAAGGGTCTTGCACATCTGATTCAAGTCAACGAGCTTAGGATGAGAAGCTCCAGGCCTACACCCGATGGTACGTGTCCTACAAGACACATACAAGGAGACACACAGACGCAGAGGAGGAGCCTCATGAAGACGGAGGCAGAGGCCGGAGGGACGGGGCCACAACCCGGGGCGTGTGGGGCCCACAGAGGCTGGAAGAGGCAGGAAGGACCCTCCGTGGAGCCTGTGGGGGGAGGGCGGTCCTGTCCCCCCGGACCTGAGACATCTGGCCTCCAGAGCTGGGAAGGGAAATTTCCACTGCTCAAGTCCATCTGTGGCCCCTGTCACAGCAGCCCCAGGACACTTGCACACGCAGCCAGAAGGGCTTGGCCAAGAGGAGGTTCAGGAGACTCCTGGGTCTTTTCAAGCCGCATGGGCCCAGTGCTGTCCAGAGCCCCTGACCCTGCAGGGTGCTGGTCACACAGGGCACATCCCCTTAACCCTGAGGTGGCTGAGTCGCCCTGGGGACAGCCACTGACACCTGGAGGGAGCTGGGTCACACTGGGCAGAGGCCTGACCATGGAGGGCGCTGGGTCAGTGTCAGCAGAGTGCACTTCAGACCTGCTTCCTGAGCTCCCAGGGACTCCATTCATGGCTGCAGCCAGGTGGGCAATACTGTGATGTCACCTCCAGGGCCAAACAACACCTCTTCTGCCCTGTGTTCCAGGCTGCCTGTGCCCACGATGCCCACAGGTGGGTGCCTGGGCTGAGGAGCAGGGCGGCTGACGGAGAAGGTGGACCATCTGCCGGACCTGTGGGTGCTGCCCACCCTGCCTCTCATTTCTCCTGCTCCCTAGGCCCGGGCTGCTTTGGGGGACTCTACTGCTTCAGACCCTGAGAGGCTGCAGAATCCAGGGGCCAACAGGCAGGCAAAAAGGGAAAGCTCCAGGGGCGTCATCCGCACAGCAGTGCTCACAGGGTGCAGGCGGGGGACAAGTGGCAGGCGGCCTGGGAGGGAACATCCCCCACAGGTGATGCTGCTGCAGGGACCCTGGGGCTCTTAGTGAAGCCCCCCACCCCTGGAGCCGGCCGCAGTGTGTGCAGCACCCTGGGCCGCCCTCCCGGAATCCACCTCCTCCTCCCCCTTCCGCCTGCCCAGACTCCCCGTCCCCGGGCCCCCCCAGCCCACAGGGAAGCAGCATGGTTAGCAGACACCTCCATTCAGCCTGCAGCTTGCTGCCACTCCCCCTGGTGGTGTCCTTCCTGGGGGCGGACCAAGGGCTCCTGTGTGTGGCTCCAGAATCTTCCTTGCTTGCAGGAATGAAGGATCAGATGGGCACAGACACCAGCTGGACCCGATCTGCACCAGGGACAGCCACACAGGGTGCAGGGGAGCAGACACGTGGGTGCCGCCCGGGCGCCGGCAGGAGAGCCCTGGGCTGGGAGGGTAGGGCACGGGTGGCCCTGCAGCTGCCCCCTCCCACCTGGGCTCCAGGGGCCCAGACAGGTACAGCCTGCCACCCCCGCCACCTGCTCATAGCCCTGGCTGAGGAAGGCAGCCACTGGTCATGGCCAGACTGGCCTGGCTTTTCACCCTCACACCCGCCCCTGTGGCCATAAGGCCTACTGAGGCCCGCAGGTCCCCCAGGGGTCACTCTGGGCAAGCCTTCTCCCTCCAGGGCGCGTTTGCAAGCCTTCACTCCATCTCCACCTCCCAGGCCACCTCTACATCAGTGTCCCTGAGCCCCCCACCACGTCCACCTCAGCCTTCGCTTCCTTGCACCTCGGCCCCCAGCCAGCCACATGAAGCAATGACCTCGACTGGGCCACCTGCCTCGCACCCACATGGCCTCAAGCCAGAGTCAGACTCTTGGGGGTCTCACAGGCCAGGCCACATACACCTGGCCCCACCACAGCCAGACCACAGACCAGACATGACGTGGAGGCAAGCAGCCACCACTGTGGGACAGGAAGTGGGCAAGTGACCCCGTCTGTGGGCCAGGCACAGTCATGCAATCCCTCCCAGCCCACCCCTCACAGCCTCAGCCCGCCTATAGCGGCAAATGCCCCAGAGCAGGGCAGGGGGCTGCTGAGACCACAGGGCCGTCAGGCAGGCTGACAGGAGGCCTCGGCCCCATCCTCACTCCAGTCCCCGAGGGAGGCAGGCTGGGGGACATGCAGCAGTGCACCGCCTGGCAGAGGGAGGCCGGGCCTCTCAGATGCAATAGACCCCCGGGCGGCCTACAGCAGGTGGGTCCGAACGTGGTCCAGACCTTTTCTCCTCAGTCAGACCATCCTGAACCCTGCTGGGCCCAAGAGGATGGAGACAGGCAGAAGGGACAGCGAGCAGAGGAAGGAGGGACGATGGGCCTGGAAGCCATTGAATCACCGAGCAGAGAGCTGGGAGAAGCACAGTCGTCTAGACTACCGGGGGCTACTCTAGGCCGGGCTGGGCTGAGCTGGGCTGAGCTGGGCTGAGCTGGGCTGGGCTGAGCTGGGCCGAGTTGGGCTGGGCTGGACTGAACTGAGCTGAGCTGGGCTGAACTAGGCTGATCTGGGCTGGGGTAAACTGAGCTGCGCTGGGCTGAGTTGGGCCAAGCTGGGCCAAGTTGGGCTGAACTGGGCTGGGCTGGGCTGAGCTGGGCCGAACTAGGCTGAGCTGGGCCGGACTGGGCTGAGCTGGGCTAGGCTAAACTGAGCTGAGCTGGGCTGAGTTGGGCCAAGCTGGGCTGAGCTGGGCCGAGTTGGGCTGGGCTGGACTGAACTGGGCTGGGCTGAGCTGGGCCGAAGTAGGCTTAGCTGGGCCAAAATGGGCTGAGCTGGGCTGGGCTAAACTGAGCTGAGCTGGGCTGAGTTGGACCAAGCTGGGCCAAGTTGGGCTCAGCTGGGCCAACTGGGCTGGGCTGGGCTGGACTGGGCTGGGCTGAGCTGGGCTGAGCTGGGCTGGGCTGGACTGAACTGGGCTGGGCTGAGCTGGACCGAACTAGGCTGAGCTGGGCCGAACTGGGCTGAGCTGGGCTGGGCTAAACTGAGTTGAGCTGGGCTGAGTTGGGCCAAGCTGGGCCGAGTTGGGCTGAGCTGGGCCGAACTGGGCTGGGCTGAACTGAGTTGCACTGAGCTGGGCTCAGCTGAGTGGGGTGGACTGGGCTGAGCTGGGCAAAGCTAAGCAGGGCTAAACGGCTGAGCTGGCCTGGGCTGAGCTGGGCTGGGAAGAGCTTAGCTGAGCTGGGCTAAAATGGGGTGAGCTGAACTGGGCTGGGCTGGGGTGAGCTGGGCCGAGCTGGGCTGAGCTGGCCTGGGCTGGGCTGGGCTGGGCTGAGCTGGGCTGGGCTGGGCTGGGCTGGGCTGGGCTAAGCTGAGCTGCACTGAACTGAACTGAACTGGGCTGAGCTGGGCTGAACTGGGCCAAGCTGGGCCAAGCTGGGCCGGGCTGGGCTGGGCTAGGCTAGGCTGGGATGAGCTGAACTGAATGGGCCAAGCTGGGCTAAACCGGGCTGGGCTGGGCTGAGCTGAGCTGAGCTGTGCTGAACTGGGCTGAGCTGAGCTAAATTGGACTAAGCTGGGCTGAGCTGAACTAGGCTGAGCTGAGCTGAATGGGCCAAGCTAAGCTGCCCTGAACTGGGCTGAGCTGGGCTGGGCTGAGCTGAGCTGAGCTGAGCTGAACTGGGCTGAACTGGGTTGGGGTGAACTGGGCTGGGCTGACCTGGGCTGAGCTGGCCTGGAAAGAGCTGAGCTGAATGGGTCAAGCAGAGCTGGGCTAGAATGGGGTGGGCTGAACTGGGCTGGGCTGGGGTGAGCTGGGCCAAGCTGGGCTGAGCTGAGCTGGGCTAAACTGGGCTGAACTGGCCTGGGCTGGGCTAAGCTGAGCTGTACTGAACTGAACTGAACCGGGCTGAGCTGGGCTGAACTGGGCCAAGCTGGGCCAGGCTGGGCCGGGCTAGGCTGGGCTAGGCTGGGCTGGGATGAGCTGAGCTGCACTGAACTGAACTGAACTGGGCTGAGCTGGGCTGAACTGGGCTAAGCTGGGCTGAGCTGAACTAGGCTGAGCTGAGCTGAATGGGCCAAGCTAAGCTGCCCTGAACTGGGCTGAGCTGGGCTGGGCTGAGCTGAGCTGAGCTGAATGGGCCAAGCTGAGCTGTGCTGAACTGGGCTGGGCTGAACTGGGTTGGGGTGAACTGGGCCGGGCTGACCTGGGCTGAGCTGGCCTGGGAAGAGCTGAGCTGAATGGGTCAAGCAGAGCTGGGCTAGAATGGGGTGGGCTGAACTGGGCTGGGCTGGGGTGAGCTGGGCCGAGCTGGGCCGGGCTGGGCCGGGCCGGGCTGGGCCGGGCTAGGCTGGGCTAGGCTGGGCTGGGATGAGCTGAACTAAATGGGCCAAGCTGGGCTAAACTGGGCTGGGCTGGGCTGAGCTGAGCTGAATGGGCCAAGATGAGCTGTGCTGAACAGGGCTGGGATGGGCTGAACTGGGTTGGGGTGAACTGGGCCGGGCTGACCTGGGCTGAGCTGATCTGAGCTGACCTGGGCTAAAATGGGCTGGGCTGAGCTGGGCTGAGCTGAACTAGGCTAAGCTGAGCTGGGCTGAGCTGAGCTAGGCTGAATTGGCTGAGCTGGGCTGAGCTGAGCTGGGCTAAACTGGGCTGAACTGGCCTGGGCTGGGCTAAGCTGAGCTGCACTGAACTGGGATGAGCTGGGCCGAACTGGGCCAAGCTGGGCCGGGCTGGGCCGGGCTGGGCCGGGCTAGGCTGGGCTAAGCTGGGCTTGGATGAGCTGAACTGAATGGGCCAAGCTGGGCTAAACTGGGCTGGACTGGGCTGAGCTGAGCTGAATGGGCCAAGATGAGCTGTGCTGAACTGGGCTGGGCTGGGCTGAACTGGTTTGGGGTGAACTGGGCCGGGCTGACCTGGGCTGAGCTGGGCTGGGCTGAGCTAGGCTGAACTGTGCTGAACTAGGATGAGTTGGACTGAGCTGGTCTAAACTGGACCGTATTGGGTTGAGCTGCGCTGTTCAGGCTAGTGACTGAGGTGAATGTAAAGGAATAAGTTGGGTTTGTATCACCCCCCAGAGATCCAGTCCTCAGCCCCATTTTTCTGTGTGTTCTTAGGGGTCCATGGGATCATGCTAGTTAGGTTGTACCCATAATGCCCTCTTTCCCCACCATCACTTCAGGGAACTGGTCCTGTATATGTGAGTAGACCACACTCTGTATTTCTGGCTTTTCCAGCAGGGACACCTTTGGATGGAGTTTGAATTGGGCCTCTAACCTCCAAAACCTCATAAGCCACAGATGTCACCTGTCAGTAACAGGGAGGCTAGACATGGGACTAGTGAGGGTGGGTGGTTTGACTGGGACCCTGACTGGTAAGAGGAAGGGGGTCCCAGAAGGAGCCGGCGCCTTCTCCTCCCCTGTGTCACCCCCTACACAGCCTTGCTTGAAGCCTGGGCTGCTCTGTCCTGGCCCGTGCTCTCCCTCTGGGCCCATCTCTGGTGATACCCAAAGCCCAGCAGAGCATGTCTGGGCCCACTGCATGGATGGGAAACTGAGGCTCCAGGAGTACCTGCAGACTCAGTGAGCGGGAGAGCCACGTTCAATAACCACAGATCCAATCTGGGGGTGGCTTGGACCAGAGGCCCTCCCCGAGGAACCTGTCCAGGTGGTCATGCTAGAACCCTGACGAGCATGTCCAGTTGGACCCAGGCGTGTCGTTCTGAGTCCTCGGCATATGAGCTGCATGACCTTGGGGCTGTCACTGACCATCTCTGTGCAGTTTCCTCTAGTGCAAAGAAAAAATAGGCCTCACCCTGGCCTGTGAGGCCGTGTCAGGGGTCCAGGCAGCACTGGCCCACTGGCTCACAGAGTGTCCTGTGTCACAGAGTCCAAAACCAGCCCCAGTGTGTTCCCGCTGAGCCTCAGCCGCCAGGAGTCAGAAGGGTACGTGGTCATCGGCTGCCTGGTGCAGGGATTCTTCCCTCCGGAGCCTGTGAACGTGACCTGGAACGCCGGCAAGGACAGCACATCTGTCAAGAACTTCCCCCCCGTGAAGGCTGCTACCGGGAGCCTATACACCATGAGCAGCCAGTTGACCCTGCCAGCCTCCCAGTGCCCTGCTGACTCATCTGTGAAATGCCAAGTGCAGCACGCTTCCAGCCCCAGCACGGCCGTGTCTGTGCCCTGCAAAGGTCAGAGGGCAGGCTGGGGAGGGGCAGGGGCCCCACATCCTCACTCTGACCCTCCACCTGGAGCCGTGTCCCCAAGGGCACTCCACGGGGAGGGCAGTGGGCTGCTGGGCTGAGCTCCCAGCAAGCGGCCAAGGTGGGGCCCCCATGAAGGAGCTGGAGGGTGGCAGGGGGCAGGCGGGCAGAGGGCACACACTGACCTGTTCCACTCTCTCTCTCTCTCTCTCTGCTCCTGAAGGTAACTGTCCTTATCCGTGTCCCTCGTGCAATGAGCCCCGCCTGTCACTACAGAAGCCAGCCCTCGAGGATCTGCTTCTAGGCTCCAATGCCAGCCTCACATGCACACTGAGTGGCCTGAAAGACCCCAAGGGTGCCACCTTCACCTGGAACCCCTCCAACGGGAAGAAACCCATCCAGAAGACTCCTGAGCGTGACTCCTGTGGCTGCTACAGTGTGTCCAGTGTCCTACCAGGCTGTTCTGATCCATGGAACCGTGGGGACACCTTCTCCTGCACAGCCACCCACCCTGAATCCAAGAGCCCGATCACCGTCAGCATCACCAAACCCATAGGTGGGCCCAGACCCTGCCCGTGAGGCACTGCTTGGCACACAAAAGTTTGTGAGGCATCTCCTAAGCCTGCTTCCTTCCTCTAGCCCCTGGGCTTGGGTGCTCCCATCCACATTTTACAAAGGGAAACTGTGGCATGGGGTGCTATGGGGAAGAAGGCTCTTCCCCCACCCCAGATCCCTGACCTGGCTCTCTGTCTTGCAGAGAACATCTTCCCGCCCCAGGTCCACCTGCTGCCGCCGCCGTCGGAAGAGCTGGCCCTCAATGAGCTGGTGACACTGACGTGCTTGGTGAGGGGCTTCAACCCAAAAGATGTGCTCGTACGATGGCTGCGAGGGACCCAGGAGCTACCCCAAGAGAAGTACTTGACCTGGGAGCCCCTGAAGGAGCCCGACCAGACCAACATGTTTGCCGTGACCAGCATGCTGAGGGTGACAGCCGAAGACTGGAAGCAGGGGGAGAAGTTCTCCTGCATGGTGGGCCACGAGGCCCTGCCCCTGTCCTTCACCCAGAAGACCATCGACCGCCTGGCGGGTAAACCCACCCACGTCAACGTGTCTGTGGTCATGGCAGAGGTGGACGGCATCTGCTACTGAACCGCCCAGCCTTCCCTCCCTAAATAAACTCCATGCTCGCCCAAAGCAGCCCCGTGCTTCCATCAGGCCGCCTGTCTGTCCATATTCGGGGTCTGTGGCATACTGAGGCAGGGGTAGGGCCCAAAGAGGAAAGGGTACCTGCGCCCCTGACCCTTTGGGGCCTCACTTGTCTTGCTCAGCCTGGCACCTCAACGTGCCTCTCACACCCATGGGTGTGTGTGTGTGTAAGAGTGTGAGCATTAGTGTGAGCGTATGGTGTGCATGGTAGTTAGACAAGCTGGGAGCAAAACCTGCAGTTGACAGTCGGGGGAGGGCACAGCACAGTGGGTAAGTCCTCTGCGGGCAATGATGCAGTTTCTTGTGTCTCAGAAGATGCCTCTAGGGGCAGCCTTGAGGGGCCAGAGGGAGGCAGGAGAGCAGGTGACCAGTGAAGAGGCTGGTGTCACTGTCAGGGGTCGAGGCAGGATTCCAGAGGGACCCACACCACCCTTGGTGGGTGCGGTGCATGCAGTTGCCCCACTGGTGCCCTGGACAGGGAGCTGCCCTGTGCCACACTGCTCCGTACACGGCTCACTCACAGACACACACAGCCACCCCCTCTATGCTCACGCTCACGCATCTGTACACACACCGGAGCCCTCCAGCTGCAGGAAGTCCCTAGCCCAGCCCCAGCCCCAGGAAAGTGAGGGGGATCCCCACCCTAGCCCCAGCAAGATTTCCCAGGCCCAGGGCCACCTCCCCAGGCCTTCCCTGTGTGCCCCACTGACCCCACACAGGCAGCCTCTACCCCCCGCCTGACGCCCAGACTCAAGTCTCCCATCCCTTCCTGAGCCCAAGGGTAGCCCAAACCACAGATAGGGTAGGGGTGGGGGGCAGGTTAGAGAGGAGTCAGCAGAGAAACCTCCCACCCAGGGCCCCTGTGCAGCTGCTCCTGGATGGTCTGGTAGAAAGGGAGGTTTGAGGAGACAGCATAGAGGCGGTACGGGGACACTGTGGGACACCTGGCCTTACCGCTCCCACAAGGGGGCAGCGGGGCCCCTGCTCTTGTCTCAGACACCTTCTGGGCTTCCCCGTGGGACCTGGCCTTCTGCTCCTCTCTCTGCTCCCAGGGCCAAAGTGAGGTGGGACCCACACACACACACACCCACAGGCTCACTGCTCCCCTTTCAAGGGTCTAATCACCAAAGGGTAATAGAGGGAACAACAGGTTCATTGCAGGGGAGGTGCTGCCATAGAGAAGGTACTCCAGCCACCAAGGGAGCTAGCACCCAGCCCGAAGCAGGAGTATTCTAGAGAGGGAGAGGGGAGGAAGAGTCAGTAGATGGACAGATCATAGGACATGTAGTGGATGGAAGCATGGAGGGAGGGAAGAAGGGATGGATGGATGGGTGGGTGGATGGAGGGAAGGAGGGATAGATGGATGGGTGGATGATGGATGAATGGATGGATGGATGGACAGATGGATAGATGGGTGGGTGATGGATGGATGGTTGTATGATGGTGATGGATGGACAGATGGACAGACAGGTGGATGGATGGATGGACAGATAGATGATGGATGGATGGATGGATGGATGGATGGATAATTGGATGTGTCATCAATGACAAGCAAGTCCAAATCCCATTTAACCTAGAAGGTCTGTGCCCTGGGATCCTGAAAATAGCCTGTGCTGGTGGCCTTCACCTGGGCCCCCCTCCTGCTCCTTGTAGCTTATGGGAAGGCAACGTGCCTGTCTAGCCCTTGACACATTGAACTACAGACCCAGATTTACGTCTCAACCTGGAGCACCCTGAGGGTGGCAAGTCTGGTCCTCTCTGGTGCCACTCAGGGTCCAGACCAAGGCCAAGCCAAGAGTGAGGACTTGGTGAGCAAACACATGGAGCTGGGATCCAGGAGGCTTTGGGTTTGAGCTCTGTTTACGGCAGCAGAGCCAGTGCCCACCCTCTTGCCTTGCCAGGTCCCTCTCCCTACGGTCCTGCCAGGACTCCTTTAGAGATGGGGGCTCTTTGGCTATCTAAATTGCTATAAGGGCCCCAGCCCTTTCCCTGGGCACCTGTCACCTCATCCTCCCCAAGGCAGCCTCAGACCTCAGAGAGGGCACCCCCATTGCCCCTGTCCTGACCCTAAGAGTGTGTGGGAGGGGAAGGCATTGGCTCAGCCCCCGTCCATGCAGGCATGGGCCTGGCAGACTCACAGTGTCTTGCAGGTTACCGGGAGCCACTTCCCTGGCTGGTGCTGGACCTGCCGCAGGAGGACCTGGAGGAGGATGCCCCAGGAGCCAGCCTGTGGCCCACTACCGTCACCCTTCTCACCCTCTTCCTACTGAGTCTCTTCTACAGCACAGCACTGACTGTGACAAGTGTGCGGGGCCCAACTGACAGCAGAGAGGGCCCCCAGTACTGAGCAGAAGCCAGCCAGGCACAGGTAGGGGCAAGGAGGCAGAGTGCTGGGCTGACTGGGGCAGGGAGGTCGCCCACCAGGGCACCTGCCTATTCCCCACCCCTGGGGGTCTGACACTGAGGATTATGGGCAGTCCTGGGGTCAGAGCTTAGATATCTCCCAGCAGCATCAGGGAGTTAGCTTCCCCTGGGCTCCAGTCACAGCAGGACTCGAACCATCTCCCCTGAGGCAGGCAGGGTGGGGGACAGGGCATTGGTGAGGAGTTCCCCTGGGCCCTGATCCCACTGTGTTTGCAGGGAGGAGCCTGGAGGAGCCTCCTGGAAGCCCAGCTGGATGTCAGAGCTCAGCCCTGCTCAGAAGCTGCCCACCCGCCCCCCACACAGGCCTTGCTGGTGCAATAAACTGATCTCAAAGGCAAAGGTTCTCAGACTCTAAATGAGAGGAGGGGAGAGGAGAGGGATAGAGGCTTGGGAGAGGGGGGACATCAGCCTCATGACCCAGGTTGAGGCTCCCTTCACCTATAGTCTACCTGATCTGGTCCTGCATAAGCCACAGGCTTAGGACAAAAGTCGTCCTTCACCAAGGACAGTATGAAACAAAACCTTCCTAAGCACTGCACCCAGGACCTTTTCCTGGTCACTGAGCCCTGCTCCTCATCACCAGACCCTTGTCATGATCACCGAGCCCTGGTCCTGATCATGATCACTGGACCCTAGTCCTCATCACTAGGCCCTGGTCATGATCACTGAGCCCTGGTCCTGGTCACTGGGCCCTGGTCCTCATCACTAGGCCCTGGTCATGATCACTGAGGCCTGGTGCTGACCACTAGACCCTAGTCCTCATCACTGGGCCTTGGTCCTTGTCACTGAACCCTGGTACTGGTCACTGAGCCCTAGTTTTAATCACTAGACCTTGGTTTCATCATTGGTCCCTGATCCTGGTCACTGAGACCTGGTCCTGGTCATGATCACTGAGCCTTGGTCCTCATCACTGGGCCCTGTCATGATCACTGAGGCCTGGTGCTGACCACTAGACCCTAGTCCTCATCACTAGGCCCTGGTCATGGTAACTTATCCCTAGTCCTCATCACTAGGCCCTGGTCATGATCACTGAGGCCTGGTGCTGACCACTAGACCCTAGTCCTCATCACTGGGCCTTGGTCCTTGTCACTGAACCCTGGTACTGGTCACTGAGCCCTAGTTCTCATCACTAGACCTTGGTTTCATCACTGGCCCCTGGTCCTGGTCACTGAGACCTAATCCTGGTCATGATCACTGAGCCCTGGTCCTCATCACTAGGCCCTGTCATGATTACTGAGGCCTGGTGCTGACCACTAGACCCTAGTCCTCATCACTGGGCCTTGGTCCTTGTCACTGGACCCTGGTACTGGTCACTGAGCCCTAGTTCTCATCACTAGACCTTGGTTTCATCACTGGTCCCTGGTCCTGGTCACTGAGACATGGTCCTGGTCATGATCACTGAGCCCTTGTCCTCATCACTAGGCTCTGGTCATGATCACTGAGAACTGGTCCTGACCACTAGACCCAGGTCCTCATCACTGAGCCCTGGTCATGATCACTTAGCCCTAGTCCTCATCACTAGGCCCTGGTCATGATCACTGAGCCCTGGTCCTGATCATGATCACTGGACTCTAGTCCTCATCACTAGGCCCTGGTCATGATCACTTATCCCTAGTCCTCATCACTAGGCCCTGGTCATGATCACTGAGGCCTGGTGCTGACCACTAGACCCTAATCCTCATCACTAGGCCCTGGTCATGATCACTTATCCCTAGTCCTCATCACTAGGCCCTGGTCATGATCACTGAGGCCTGGTGCTGACAACTAGACCCTAGTCCTCATCACTGGTCCTTGGTCCTTGTCACTGGACCCTGGTACTGGTCACTGAGCCCTAGTTCTAATCACTAGACCTTGGTTTCATCACTGGTTCCTGGTCCTGCTCACTGAGACCTGGTCCTGGTCATGATCACTGAGCCCTGGTCCTCATCACTAGGCCCTGGTCATGATCACTGAGGCCTGGTGCTGACCACTAGACCCTAGTCCTCATCACTGGTCCTTGGTCCTTGTCACTGGACCCTGGTACTGGTCACTGAGCCCTTCACTAGACGCTGATCCTCATCACTGAGCCCTGGTCTTAATCACTATGGCCTGGTCCTAGTCACTGGGCTTAGGTCATGATCACTGAGCCCTGGTCCTAGTCACTGAGCCCTGGTCCTAATCACCATGGCCTGGTCTTAGCCCTAGGAGGAGGCTGAGTCATTGTGAGCACCGTGCAACCCAGGCCAGGTAGCCCCACTAGAGGACACTGGGCTTAGGTCATGATCACTGAGCTCTGGTCCTCATCACTGTGTACTGGCCCTGGTCACTGGTCTCTGGTCCTGGCCACTGAGCCCTGGTCCTGGTCATGATCACTGAGCCCTGGTCACTGAGCCCTGGTCCTTACATTGTTCCCTGGTACTTACCACTCAGCCCTGGTCCCAGTTACTGTGACCTGATCTAATCACTGGGCTCTGGTCCTTAACATTTTGCTCTGATTACTTATCAACAGTCCAAGTTACTGAACCCTGCTCCTGATCACT